ATATATATATATATATGTACATATATATACGTGTATATATGTACGTGTAGATATAGTATGAAGGAACTATATATGTGTAGTTTGAAGGAATTAACATTTATCGCGCATGGGAAGATGACAAAATGGGTGCAGTGTCATTGCACATGAACTGTTATCCTGATATGATCGAAATTTTCGTTGAAGGTATTCGAAATTGCATCGCGGCGTGTTGCTGAACGTGAGCAAAAATTGATAGCTTTGGAGAAAGCGATAAATCCGTTACTTGACGATAACGATATCATTGGGTTTTCGTTCATTTTGAATGAAATTGTCCAGGAATGTAAGAATATCCCGAAAAGCGTTGCATTTCATTTCAAGGTGGATCCCAAAAAGGTGCATTTCTTTTTGAAGCACATAGTTCAGTATGAGATTTACTGTTATTATTGTTGTTGTTTTTCATTGTTATTTTTGTCATCCTTATTTGTCGTGCTAAGCGCAGCTCGAAGAGTATAGCATAGCTACACTTGGCGCGTGAGAGCATCGCAGTAACATCACTAACTGGGACTAGCTACATTTACGAGGAAAAGCCCTAGCAGACGTGGTATTCTGAGTATTGCTGTCATTATTATTATTATTATTGTTATTATTATTATTATTATTATTATTACTATTATTATTATTATTGTTATTATTATTGTCATTATTATTATTATTATTGTTATTAATAATAATAATAATAATAATTTTCACTTGCCTATAGTAAGGGAAGCGCTTTCAAAACATATCATCATCGGTACTTTTTTACGCTAGTTAAAACGTCCTAAACCTTTATACCAGCGTCTTTCGAATGTACTAAGAGCATAAAACCCGTTATTTCTCTCACGTATTCTCATAAGAGAACTCTCGATAGCGTTGCAAATAAGAAGATTAAATGTTAAAAAAATTTCACAAAATTTCATCTATAAGACATGGTGAAGTCGGGCCTTAAACCTTTACATCGGTTGTCTGTTCATTTTAAAGCCTTTGCGCCTTGTTTCCTTCCTTTTTTCGGTCTTACTCAAACACTGTCTTGCCAGGTTTTCGAGGGAGGATAGTCTTTATGAATCTGGAATACAGTTGTTAGATGTGGAGCACAAGTTCGATCCCCTATAAAAATAAAGGGTTCGATATTGTCAAAATAGAACGTTCCGTCCTGAAATTTTGCATCAGGAACCGACTTGTACTCGCAATTTCTTCTGTCCTAATGGTTCAGGAATTACAAACCTAGTCAGTACATTGTTCTCACTGAAAATGGTGGCTCACAAATGGCAGGCAGTGATTGTCCATGCCGAGGGTTAACTTTGTTTCTTTCTCTCTCTCCCCTACTTCTTTCTTATATCCGTCTTGCAAATTAGACACACGAGTGTTCAGAGCACATGGCTAATGGAAAACTTCTCGCTTCTATTCGCACTCAAAGCTCGGCCTTTGTTTGCAGCTAAGAGATGAAACACAGAGTGCATCCAACCATTTTTTCTTGCACGGTCCAGTCCTTTGTCTCGTATTATACCATTTCATAAATGTGTTAAAACTAATCATGTGAAGTTTTGTCGAAGTTTTATACAGTGTCTTCAGTTTTTATTTTTAGCTTCCCCAGTACTACCAAAAAATTACAACTCCCATGGATTTGGGCACCATGCAGCAGAATATCAAGGAGCATCATTATACCACTGTTCAGGCATTTAGAAATGATATCGAACAGGTTGAATTCTTTTTTCTTGTAACTGAACTTTCTTTTATATTTTAGAAAATTTTTAAAAAATATTTCATGAAAAGGTGCTGCAGTCTGATATCTCAGACCGCTGCCTCTGGCCATCGGCATCCCCGCGGATGTTAGCGACAAGCCTCAAAAATCAAGAAAACATGCTGTGTCTGTGGTAGCAGTCGTTCACTGCATGCGAATGCAGATTCTTCAGAATATGGAGCGCAGCTGTAAGATGTGGAACACAGAGAGCACTAGTGCGCAGCTGCCAACATGTAACAATCCGAACAGTCTGGTAGAGTGAGGAAGGTTTGGCTTCCGTATCCGCTGTAAAATGACCGATGCGAATGGCAGCTGTTTTGCTCGTTTCATGGCTCGTTACATCCGCATAACCTTAATAGTTTCTTGCATAATTTTTTGCTATAATTTTGCATAATTTTTTGCGCATCAGTTTCATTCTCTTCTCTTTATTAGCTCTTCCTTTAACGAATAATTAGGGGATTTTTTTTCTTCCAGCTAAGTTCTTTTTCGCCAAAAAATTGGTCTTTTTGTCTGTGTTTTATCTTTTCCGCAAGAAGTAATTCTCAGCAAAAGGTTTTTTTATCCTGCAAATCTCAAGGATGTTGACTAAAGTTGGTTGGATTTCAGATACGGATAAATAGTGAATTATACAATGGGCCAGCTGAAACATCGCAATACACCGCAAAAGCGGCGGAAATCTCTGCATTAGCAGAACAAATGCTTGAAGTATGTTATGAGCCGCATCCTAATTTTAATTATTATTACTTTGGCACTTAGAATTCGTCTTATCTTTGCAGTTCTGTTATCGTTAGTGCTTCCGACAAATTCATTCCTAGTGATGCTGAGCGACTTTTCCCGCATAGCTCCTTATAGATAATTAATTGCTATGAGTGACAAATTTCTTTGTGTTCGCCTAAAGTTGCTGGGTACCGTTCA